ACCAATTTGAATTGTGATTTATTTATTTTCTCATTAATTTAATAATTATAAATAATTATATTTATTTTTCATGTGTAATATTTCTAGAAATATTTATACACGCACACACAAAATAATACTATAAATATTTATTTTTTGTTTACTATAAATATTATATAAAATATTTAGTCTATATTTTAATAATATTTTGAACAGAGATTTTGATACTTTTTCCTTTATATATGTATATAAAATATTTAGTCTATATTTTAATAATATTTTGAACAGAGATTTTGATACTTTTTCCTTTATATATGTATATAAAATATTTAGTCTATATTTTAATAATATTTTGAACAGAGATTTTGATACTTTTTCCTTTATATATGTATATAAAATATTTAGTCTATATTTTAATAATATTTTGAACAGAGATTTTGATACTTTTTCCTTTATATATGTATATAAAATATTTATATAATATTTTTAAAAAATAATTCAAAATAAATATTTATAGTATTATTTTGTGTGTGCGTGTATAAATATTTCTAGAAATATTTATACACGCACACACAAAATAATACTATAAATATTTATTTTTTGTTTACTATAAATATTATATAAAATATTTAGTCTATATTTTAATAATATTTTGAACAGAGATTTTGATACTTTTTCCTTTATATATGTATATAAAATATTTATAAAATATTTATATAATATTTTTAAAAAATAATTCAAAATAAATATTTATAAATACTTATCATAAATATATGCTGTCTGGGTGGTTGCTGGCATTTACCCGACACTAGTAAACTTAGTATAATAAAGTAAAAGTACCCGGACATGTATCTAAACCTGGATATTGTTATCATGACTAACAGAACTCTGGTTCATAATTGGCCGCCGTACGTTGGGCAAATATCGACATTCATTATAATGTCAGACTATTCAATGGCTAATTATCAACTAGTGCTGGCTACGGCTAGTGCTGAGTACTGGCTAACAGAACTGTGGTTCAGAATTGGCTACCGTACGTTTGTCAAGCGTTAGCGCTCGTTATAACGCCAGATTTCAAAAACATCGACCAGTACTGACCGAGTATTGGTTGACAGAACTCTGGTTCATAATTAGTCGCCGTACGTTGGCCAATCATCGGCGCTCGGTATAATGCCAGACTTCAATGACCAAACATCGACCAATACTGGCCGAGTACTGGCTGACAGAAGTCTGGTTCATGATTGTCTTGGTCACCGTACGTTGGCCAAGCGTCGGCGCTCGTTATAACGCCAGACTTCAGTGGCCAAGAATTTATCAGTACTGCTGGAGTACTGGCTAACAGAACTCTTATTCATAATTGGTCGCTGTACGTTGGCCAAGCATTGGCGCTCGTTATAATGCCAGACTTCAATGGCCAAGCATCGACCAGTACTAGTTCAGTACTGGCTGATAGACTCCAACTGCCAAATAAATGCCATAGTTCCGGCAAAACCTTGGATTCGTCGTAAGTCCGACAAACTCTATATGAGAACCCCATTTTGTCAACTGATTCATATATATTCAAAAAATCAAACATATAGGCGAACGTTTCAAGTAACAACGAGTGTTGCAATAAAAGAGCCACTCACAAGCGCTCTAAATTTGGAACACTACTTAGAGCAATAGCTGAGCTGCATGTGTAAATCAGAACACATTATCCAAACAGCACTCCGCGAATAGGGATAAGCACTCCGAGGCAGGCCCCGCGACGTCGGGAGTGTATCAATTACCCACAGTCGGGTATCACCAATTAAATTGTTTAGTTAATTAGAGTTAGATTAGGGTTAGTTTAGATTAAATTAGAGTTATTAGTAGTGCTTGATTATATCTGTGGACAATAGCTTTATCCGCGATGTCGATTGCGCCTCTGTCTTACTGAAAAAATTTAGTGGAGATCTCAATTGAGAACTCAATTGAAATCTCCTATGAGATGGTAACTGAAAACTCGTATGAGATTTTCGCAAGATCTTAATTGAAATATAAGCTCATTTCATTAATATTTCAGTAAGATTTTATAAATATTATATATTTATATATTTCATTATTATTTTAGTAAGATAGTATAAATTTAGAAAAATTCAGTGAAAAATCATTATTAATGAAAATAGATTGAGGAAAGTATAATGAAGTATTATTTTGTCTAAATAACAAAAAAAAACTGACATTTCATATTTTGTGTCGTTTCATTTATTCGTGAGATTCGCATAGATTCGATCCCGTGTCAGACGGTCCAATAAACGATGCCAATGCACTGTAATAATATCTTGGTGGATTATATTTACAATACACTTTTATAGCGTTCAAAAATGTAATGACAGTTGCCATGACAGTTGACATGAATATTTGCCAGTAAATGTTTCAAAGGACGTAACAACAATCATAATGCGATTAATATTGATACAATGTTGTATAAGTAATCAAACTTTAACATATAACATGCTCACAAAAGACAGAAAACGAAGGAATATTCTTTTTCTTTTATCGCATTGTGATTTTTGTTACGTCCTTTGAAGCTATGTGAACCTGGCACCCGACTTTTGAAAAAATAATTTTTTTCTACGTAAAAAGTTAGCATTTTGTTTGTAGTTGTTTGTAGTAACAATAATTTCGTTTGTAGTTCCATCCATTAAAAATTATAGAAATTTAAAAAAATGAGTAGCACCCCACTTTGAGATATCTCAAATCTGCAAGCGGGTGACGTTTCTAAATCGTTTGTAGTTGTTTGTAGTGATTTTCGTTTCGTTTGTA